GAAGTACCACCAATGTACATCCGTGGCTGTCCTCCATGGTCAACTATGCACAACCTATAAAGTTCGCTAGTTTCGACGAAGCCGAAGGTGGGTGAAATTTTTGTATCTCTTTAAAAGAAATTTATATTTTATTTGTAATTATAATTGTTCTCTATTTCAATAAGTGAAACTGCGACTGATGTATCAATCGACAGATCGGTACTTAAGAGCGAATTATTAATTTCAGAAAAGAACCTTCATCACAATATGTCTTCCTTCGCGGAAACGACTGGCTTGAACTACTTGAAAACCTCTGCCATTGAATTCGTAAATTATAACAAGCGACAGATGAGCCGGATTTATCCGAAAGGTACACGAGCCGACTCTTCCAACTATATGCCGCAGGTAAAACACAAGTTTATAGAGCGCAATTTGCGCAACGGGAAACACGAAGAAAAGTCTCTCATTGATCGATCGTCGCGAAACAGGTCTTCTGGAACGCTGGCTGCCAAATGGTGTCGCTGAACTTTCAAACCGCGGATCTGCCTATGCAACTGAATCAAGGAAAGTTCGAGTACAACGGGTCTTCGGGCTATTTATTGAAGCCGGATTTCATGAGACGTGCTGATAGGAGCTTCGATCCTTTCGCCGAGAGTCCCGTGGATGGAGTGATCGCCACACAATGCAGTGTTCAAGTACGTTTCTTGTTCCTTTGAATGGCGATCCAAGTTACACGCGATATCACATTCTAAATTTTGTGTATTTAAAAAGTCAAACAGTTTTATAACTTTTATATATCATTGTCTTTTGTGTTGTACTTTACCAAATTTGTGGTATTATCAAAATGTAATTTTCCTACACACACACATACACACATCACTACACGCTGTTCTTCACTGATTTCGATCAAATTCAGCAACGATAAAAGATATCCAATTGATTATCTAATTGATATACATATATAAAGCTGTTTTTTCCCTCTTATTAATGTAATTACGAAAGAATCGCCCTTTTTATCAGTAATAACAAAGCTTTGTGTTAGTCGTTTGATTGCAATTATAAAAAGTAATGCGAATACGAAATGCATTTTAATTAAGATTCTTTATAAATAAGAAAACACGATAAAATAAGGGAAATAAAGTATATCAAATAATAATCAAAGGAGAGAACTATAATATAAAAAGTCTAAAGATATTAAAAACGTTTACATTATTTGTATCTATTAATTTTAATTTGTTATTATAACATTGCAATAGGTAATAGCAGGCCAGTTTTTATCTGACAAGAAAGTCGGAACGTACGTCGAGGTCGAAATGTATGGCCTACCAACAGACACGATACGCAAGGAATTTCGCACGAGAGTGGTCCCCGCCAACGGTCTGAACCCCGTTTATAACGAAGAGCCCTTTCTCTTCAGGAAAGTCGTCCTACCAGATTTGGCCGCTCTGAGATTCGCGGTATATGATGAATCAAACGGCAAACTACTGGGACAGAGAATCGTTCCTTTGGACGGTCTGCAGGCGGGATATCGGCACATCGCGTTGCGAACTGAGGCCAATTTTCCTATGTCCCTACCTATGCTGTTTTGTAATATTGACATAAAAATCTATGTGCCAGATGGTTTCGAAGGTACGTTTGGCATCAGCCATATTTCAGCCGCTTGATAAACTTGTGCAATTATAATTGTAATAGGTTGTTTAATTTTAATCGCATTATTTCATGTTAATTCTGTCAAAATTAACTATTTCACGTTGTACGATCTGCTTAAACGACAATTTAGTTAAGCGAATCTTTTATTTAAAATCATTTTTGTATGACAATCAATTTTAAATAAACATGTATTAATAATATTAATTGATTAATATACTTTTTATAATTTTTTTAGAATTCATGGACGCCTTGACGGCGCCGCGAGCGTTCAGGAAGTCGGAAAGCATGTCGCAAAATAAAATGCGGGGTCTGGGAATCGAAGAGAGTGATAGTAAAAATAATATGGACAACAAAAACAACATGCTATCTCACCACCAAGAAGCAGCGAAACCAAGAGGTGAGTTGCAAGATACAGAAACTACCAGTTATGAACAACGAATCTACTTATTTTATTTTTACAGAGGAACTAAAGTTCGATCCAATCACTCTGGAAACTTTGAGACAAGAAAAGGGTTATCAAAAAGTATTACGGAAACAGCAAAAAGAACTGGAGTCCTTGAAAAAGAGACACCACAAGGAGAAATTGAATGTCCAGAAGCAACATTGCGTTGCAATAGAGAAGATTTTTAAGGGAAAAAAGTTAGTTACTTCTCTTTCTCTCAAGAGCGTTTGTGAACGCAAAATTGATAGAGTTTAGAGTTTGTAGAACTGATTGTGAGAGCTGCATGAAGTGATAGACAATAATTAACATAATTTAATAAATTACAAATCGATCATAATGTTATAGCAAAGCGGAACTTTCGAGGGACCCCATCGTTCGTCGCGCCGTTTCCGAACAGACGACCCAGTGGTCGCGTCTCGCTGACAGGCAACGCCGGGAGGAACGCGATCTGGTCCGTGGACATCTGGAAGAGCGACGGACGCAGCTGTGCAAATTGTGCATGGCAGCACAGCTGGCGCAACAGAAACAGTTGATCGCGCGACATGACCGCGAGATGAAAGAGATGACCGGGCGACAGGCGAGACTGTCGGTGGAGAGTGCGAAGGAAGTGATGAACGACAAGACCTTGAAGACGCGTGGAATCAAGGAGGGCAGACTCAGAGAGAAGCAGCAAAACAACACGAAGAAATTTATGGAAGAGCGCAGGATTGGGCAGATGATACAAAACAGGGAAAAGGAGAAACTTAAAGTGATCCACGAGAAGCAATTGGAGGAATTGCAGAAGGATATGAACGCGGTAAGGCAACAGACTCTCGCTTGGCTAGCGGCTTTCCCGATAGTATAGCTTTGCATTTATCGCGTTTGCACACAGGAACGATATATTATATGTTTAATGTACAACTTGTAGTTGTAAGCAATTTATATGATCTGATATTGAACGTAAACGTCCAATTTAACATTCCATTAAGTAGATTGCTAGAAAATTAAGAAAATATTTTAGGTCTTTTATATTTATGTATTTATTTTAATAAAATGAATTAATGTGCTATAATAGAGATTTGGTAAAATTGTTAGAAGAGCAAATTTATTGTATATTTTTGTTTTATAATTAAGTTGAATTCTATTTATTGAATATTAAGACTAATTTTGAGTACTATTTCTTATTTTGTTATATAATTATTATATCTTATTTAATATTTTCTTAATAAACTTATTTTCTTAAAATATTTTAATTTTTAATTTTATTTTTCCTATTATTTGTTAAAGTTTATATTATATAACAAAATAATTAATAAGTTATGTACTGTAATTAAGTCTTCTTAAATAAGCAGGTATAACAAATTTGAAATATAAAAAATGTCGATTTTAAAATTAAAGATTTCCTTCACGAATCTTTCATTTATACGATGTTTTTTCATTTGTTTCATAAACATTTATAGAAAATGCATTGGATTATTATGAAATATTATGAAATTTGTTATCCGTATTTAATATTGGTATTGTGTTTTAATATGAATAAGTGTTTTTAAGTGTTTGTTAGAATAATTATTCTTATCGTCAAATTATTTTTTAGAACTGAGGTTTTTAATCCCATATCAACCGTCAAATTTATTTGTGATCGTATACAAAGTTTTTTTCAGATTTAAACAGATATAATTAAAATCAAATAACATAAAATGCATCAATAATATTTTTTAATGGGAAAAAATATATATGTGTTTCTAATAAAATGTTACTTGTCTAATTTTATTAATTTATAAAAAGTTTCTCTTTTCATAAAGAATATAAAGCTAAATTCTCTTGAATCATAAATAATAAAAATCTTAAATTCGCATAAAAGTTCAAGTTATCCGAATACAAGTTTATTTCACTTAAATACCACTTTAAATACCAAGTCTATTTTTGTCAAAATAATTGGTTTACAACTAGTCACGTACACAATTTTTCCAGATCATGGATATGTACAAGAATGAGGACATGGACTACGAGCCGGCTAAGATGCTGGCTGAATTCTACGTGTGATGAGTGCCAGCCAAGTTTCTCCGCAAATTTTCTCCGCAGCGAGAAACACGTTACGAAGGGGAGGACTGTTTTCAGACAATTTACTACTGTCGTTAATTATACTTGAAATTGGGATCAAATTTCATTAGCTGTCGTTCTTGTATCTGCCGACAAATGTCGTATTGTGAGAAAGAAAAATAGTATAACTACATTAACGTTTCTAATTAATTCAGCCAAGTATTTTTTTATAAGCAGACATTTTATGTCTCCATTGTCTCTGAGTACCTAGACTAACGAGGGAGTCAATACAACTAAAGTGATCTAGTCAAGTATTAAATATATATATATATATATATATACTTATACAAAACGTATATCATGATGTCGTGACCGATGTGAAACGGTGTAATGCACCGCGCGATTTGTCGAAGCAAATATTTTTCGATTGTTAACGCTATTGTCGAAGTCTATCAGAGTGAAAAAATGTGTATGCTTGTGCGCGTGTGTGAGACTGCTGTCTGTATTCGTGAATTGATGTCTGCATTCGTGAATCGATGCCTAATGCTGACAGGAACTTTCTCTGTTACCGTGATGATTCCTAGACCATACATACCTTAAGTTGAGAGACGCTCTCACGGTCGGACCTAACCGATAATTCTCGTGACTGCTGATAATGATTAGAGTATTATAAATCGTTTGAGAATCTCGAGACCGTGTAATTTACGGCCAAAAGCTGTAATTTACAAATCGAAGGAAGCGCCTCTTACACGGCCCTTACATGAATGGTCACATAGGATTGTAAATAAACTTTAAACGAGAGCCTAGTATAATAATTACTACGTTGTTGTTTTCATTATAACATGATGTTATTTACATAAATTATTATATCATCCTATACATATATATATATATCTATATTGGATATGAATAAAAAAAATTATGCAAATTACGTTTGCAATTATTTCCGTTTTATTGCATGGATTTGTTTTAGCACGAGCATATCTGTATCCCGATAAAGATTACGATGAGGTAAAAATTACTACAGCAAGTATCAAAGAATATAACTAAATAGAATATAACAAAGAATAAACTAAAAATTACTACAGCAAGTATCAAAGAATATCAAAGAATATATTTCTACGAAACGCACATATTAATTTATAATATTTTCTTTTAGGTGATCCAACTTGAGTTTGAGAACTTTTCAATTAATTGTCCAATTAAATTACGAAGAAAAAGATTGCACTTCGATTATTCAAATAGAGTGTTTCTAAATTATTGGTATACACGAAGATCATAATGATGTTTCATAATGGTCATGATCGAAATAATCGAGTATGTCAGATTTGATATTAACGTCAGCAACAGAAAGTTCTTCATATGGAGCTGAAACATATAAATAAATTCTCCATATGTATTGGTCATTTCAAGACAATATTACACAGTATAATAAGTTTACTCTTCACAATTAATCAATGTGTTTGTATAAAAGAAGACTGATTAGGGAAATGTGAGTCAGTACCAGATTTTCGGTAAATGTCATATATTAAAAGGATAACTTATTTAACAAAATTTACATGTAATACAATGATATACAGGGTGAGTCTTTCCATATCCGACAAAATTTTTGAGAAGGTAGAACGGATCGAGATGAATGGAAAAGTCCTGTACCATTTTGCAATTTTCGTAATAGTTAACGAGTAATTAATTATTAAAAATCGTTGTCTTAGGCCGGCCTACCGCCCAATTCGAGCGCGTGGCGAGATGTGCGCATAGCAATATCGATCGCTAGGCGGTCACATCTTGCCAC